GCACTAAGGGAATCCATGTTTTTGGCTTCCTCGCCTTTTCGCTTCCGATGGCCATCCGGGGACTCAAGATGGCTCCAAGACGGCCCAAGAAGGCTCCAGAACCCCAAGATGCCCCCCCCAAGAGGCGACTTCTTCTGCTCCCGAGGAGCAACGCTAATTACTGCCCCACTCTTGTTTGACTGATGTCCTCCAAGATGGCTCCAAGAGCGCTCCCAATGCTCCCAGTAGCGCTTCAAGATGGCCCGAACGGGCTCTTTACGCATCCAAGATGGCCGCACAATGGCCCAACATAGTCCCAAGAGGGGCTCAAGAGTGCCCCAAGACGACCCCAAAAGCGGCCCAAGAGGGCGCTCCTTGTGGACATCCGAGATGGCGTACATCTCACCAGCCTTTAGGAGCTTCCTCTTCAAACGCCCTTCTTCACCTTCGGGGAGGGGTTTACCCCTCCCCCTACCCCTTCTCCTGGACCTGAACGAGGGGTTCCGCGGGTAGTTGGAGCGTCCAAATCGCCTCGGCGAGGAAGCCAGCAGCATTGGTTTTAAGGGGTCGGCTAATTGGGGAGCTTCCCTTCTCTGATCGATTCCACCCAAGATGGCCCAAAGATGGCCCCCAAGGCTTCCAAGGGTGCCCCGAGAGGTTGCCAGGAGGCCCCAAGAGGTCCCCAAGAGGCCCCCAGGATGAGAGGCTCCCAAGAGACCTCCAAGAAGCCCCCCAGACGCTCCAAGAGGCCTCGGCGAGAATTCCCAAATCATTGTTTCTACTAGGGATTTGACTTCATTTTGGCCTCCTGGAGGGGGCACTGGTTGAGATGACTCCACGAGCGTCTGGGGGAGCCCAAGATGACCTCCAACATGGCTCAAGATATCCCAAGATGCCCCAATTGGCTCCCACGATGCTCCAAGAGGCCCCAAGACTCCAAGACGGCTCTAAGTGGCCAACGAGCTCCCCCACGAAGAGGCCAACATCCTTCCAACACACTCTAGGGGAATCCATGTTTTTGGCTTCCTCGCCTTTTCGCTTCCGATGGCCATCCGGGGACTCAAGATGGCTCCAAGACGGCCCAAGAAGGCTCCAGAGCCCCAAGATGGCCCCAAGAGCGTCCAAGAGCGTTCCAAGAGCGCCCCAAGAGGAGACTTCTTCTGCTCCCGAGGAGCAACGCTAATTACTGCCCCACTCTTGTTTGACCGATGTCCTCCAAGATGGCTCCAAGAGCGCTCCCAATAGCGCTTCAAGATGGCCCCAAGAGGCGCCCAGGAGGCCCCAAGAGACCCCAACCCAAGAGACCCCCAAGAGGCCCAAAGAAACTCCCCGTTGCACCGAAAGCGCTTTAAGAGGCGTCCAGGACCGCCAAGATGCACCCGAGACGCTCCAAGAGGCCTCCACTGGGGGACCCTTCCTCTGTGTGCTGCCCACTTCCCTGATCGAGGCAATTCCCCTGGGCTGTGGCGTTGCACGAAGCGTCTAGAATCGAAGTCCCCTCTTTTTGAACGAAGGGGCCCGAGACGGCCCCAAGAGGCCTCCCTGCCCGCCCCACAAAACACCAAGAGGGCCCCAACAAAAATTATCCCGGCAAAGCAACCTAACAGCGATGTGTAGGAGCATATCTGGAAGCATTCCCCTTAAGATTCAAATGAGAATCCAGTTGTAGAATTGTGCTGTTCTCGCAGTCGTAGTCACATTCGCGATGACAGTCGCAGTGGCAACGGCAGTCACAGACACAGCCTCAGCCTCAGCCTGCCTCAGCCTCAGCCTCAGCCTGCCTCAGCCTCAGCCTGCCTCAGCCTCAGCCTCAGCCTGCTTCAGCCTCAGCCTCAGTCTGCCTTCAGCCTCGGCGTCAGCCTCAGGCCTCAGCCTGCATCGCCTCAGCCTGCCTCAGCCTCAGCCTGCCTCAGCCTCAGCCTCAGCCTGCCTCAGCATTCAAAATGTGGCCCGGGAATGGAGTTCTGGGAACTCGAAGAACACGAAGTGGCCTACAGTTGGCTCCGGGCATTCAAAATCATGCCCAGGAATGGAGTTCTGGGAACTCGAAGACCACGAAGTGGCCTACAGTTGGCTCCGGGCATCCAAAATGTGGCCCGGGAATGGAGTTCTGGGAACTCGAAGACCACGAAGTGGCCTACAGTTGGCTCCGGGCATCCAAAATGTGGCCCGGGAATGGAGTTCTGGGAACTCGAAGACCACGAAGTGGCCTACAGTTGGCTCCGGGCATTCAAAATGTGGCCCGGGAATGGAGTTCTGGGAACTCGAAGACCACGAAGTGGCCTACAGTTGGCTCCGGGCATTCAAAATGTGGCCCGGGAATGGAGTTCTGGGAACTCGAAGAGCACGAAGTGGCCTACAGTTGGCTCCGGGCATTCAAAATGTGGCCCGGGAATGGAGTTCTGGGAGGTCGAAGAGCACGAAGTGTGTGACTGTTGCATCCGGTTATTCAGAATGTGGCCTGGGAATGGGGTTCTGAGAGGTCGACGAGCACGAAGTGTGTGACTGTTGGTGAAAAACGAGCCCGGCACAGGCCCGGCCGGCAACTCCCAACGCCTGCCCGGACCCCCCTGTGGAGTGATCTGTGAGCTCTTTTGAGTCAACTAGAAACCTATCAGTCTTCGCTGTTAGGTAACAACAAGAAGGTCCCAAGAAGGCCCCCAGGAAACGCCAAGAGGACCCCCAAATGGCGCCCAAATGGCATTACGAGTTTCGAAGAACCCCTCACCACGACGTATGCCCAAAGTCCGACTTCTCGTCCTCCTTGTCTTCGTCCATTCCTTCCTTGCTTCTTTCCTGCCGCCTCCCTGCTCCTCTTCATCCTCCTCGCGCCGCGTTCCTCCTGCTCCTCCTCCTCCTCCTTCCCTTCCTCCGTTTCTGTTTTTCCTCCTCCTCCTCCTCCTCCTTCTCCTCCTACTCCTCCTCTTACCTCCAAGATGACCCCAGGCACTAGCACCAGCAACATCACTTGCTCCAATAATACTGGAGCAGAATATTGGAGCCATAATGGCTCCAAGAAGGCAACATAGAACCACAAACAGCAACACCAGCAGCATCACCAACAGCCGCGCGCGAGTTTAAGATACAATTCGGTGCGGCGGAACATTAAGGATGCATGTTGGGAGGTGACTTTCACCTGTGCGACAAAGGCGACGAATGATAGATACAGCCGCTTGGGAACACCCCGGCGTATCTTGCTCCGGTTTCCATCTTAAGCTTCGCTGCGCGAAGCTATGTGTGATCCCTGTTTTTCCTGAAGACGGCCGCGCAATTGTATGCTTCCAGCCGTCTCTGCTTTACCAACTCCCGTGCTGATCATTTCTGGATGGGCTGGGTGGATATACATTTTTTGGGGTCGCGGGTGGACGCGGATTCGCAGTCGCCGAGCTGAGAGGACCGGGGCACGGGCCTGTCAAATTAGCAACGCGCCAGCCTAAAAGCACAGCGGCACTGCTGGTGGGTATACGCGAAACGTCAAGAACTCCACTCGGCCGTTGGGGCACGCTGGGGAGGGGCGGGAGGGGAGCTGGCAAGGGAAGGGTGCGGGGGGGGGGCAGTGCGACGCGGAATAAACTGGTCGGGGCGGAGGGGGCACTGGGCGGAGGTTCCACGGGCCACTGGGGAAGTGGGGGGGGGCAGGGGGGAGGGGCTGGGCAGGGCGGGGGAGCGGAGAGAGGGAGGGCGGGTGCGGTGCGACACGGGAAACAGGCGGAGGGGGCACTGGGCGGAAGTTCCATTGGGCCGTTGGTTGGCGCGCGCTGGGGAGGAGCGGGGAGGGGGCGTGCAGGGGCGGGTCTGCGGAGGGGTGGGGAGCGGACGGGAAGGGGGGCGTGTGTGCGGTTCGACGCGGAATGAGATAACCAACGCGGAGGGAACATTGAGCGGAGGTTCCTCTGGGCCTCCGGGGTGCCCTTCCCCAGCCCCGGCCCTGCCCGCGCTCCCCCCAGGCCTACCCAGCGTGCCCCAACGGCCCAGTGGAACTTCTGCCCAGTGCCCCCTCCGTCCTCTCCCCAGCGTTCGGAGGGGGGCGGGCAGGAGGGGAGCGAGTGCGGCGCGACAAAGAGCGGGCAAGAGGGGGGGTCGGGGAGGGGTGGGAGAGAGGGGGGGAGGGTGCGATGGCCGGGGCGGAGGGGGGCACAGGGCGGATCAACCTAACTCAGTGTCGCAGCGCATCTGGTGCATGCGATGTGGCGGAGGCTTGTTGTTTCACACGGGCCGCGCACCCCACCTCAAGCGCACGAGGGCGCACGGTCCGCAGGCTCCCGCGGGAGCCCACCGAGTCAGGGTCAGCACTCGCACCGGCGATCCGGCGGTGGCCACGTGGCGGAGGAGGCTGTGCTGCGCAAGCTGCGTGGTGCAGCCTGCGCACGAGGAGGCCCACGAGGCGCCCACGAAGCGGCGACTGGGAGACACTCTCCGGGACCGCCAGCCAGCGAACGGGGGCCCCCACGAGCGCCGACGGGCGGCCCCGAATTCAAAAACGTTGAGCACCCCGAGCGGCGAGCGATGAGCCCACGGGCTGCCAGCGGGGAGCAAAACGCGGAAACGCCAGCCAGAGCACGAGGCGCCTCCAAAAGGGCCAAAGATGACCCCACGAGACCCCACGAGGCTTCCAAGAAGCCCGCGGTCGCCGACCCAGTCAAGGTGTCGGGCGTGATGTGTCGCGCCACAGGACACCAGATACATGAATCCACATTTATGTATGTATATATACACATACGCACATATATATATGTATATATCTATATATGTATATATATGTATATATGTATATGTACATCTATATATATACAAATGTGTGTTACAGTCGAGTTTGATTGGAGAGAACACGCGAGAGGACGCAACCCGTCCAAAGGTTCAGGGATGCAGAGGAAACCGGACGCGAACACACAGGACACACAAGTACCCTCGATTTTGGCAAAGTCGACCCACTAGTCATACTCGACTGCACAATTTCGGTATGCTTGTCACTCCTCCCTCTGCCTCCCTTGAAGGGCCCCAATCAACGCAATCCGCATTTTGCGCCGCTCGGCTCCGCGTGCATCATTAACATCTCGATCTGGAGGCGAGCTCTGCTCATCTCTCCCCCCTTCCTTCTAGAGGAGCACCAAACATGCATGAATCTACTTTCTCGGTGGTGCGCGCGCGAATTAATTGGATCGGAGCTGGACCTCCCTTCCCTGGCGCGCGGAACGCGCCACGGGCGGCGCCGGAGGCACCGCCAGGGGGGCCAGCGCCGATCCAAGAAATCCGTGTGGACCTCCGAGAAACTATGTTTGTGCAAATTTTTGTTCTTCGATCTCTTTCCCCTTCCCCCTTCCCACTACCCGTCTTCTTTTAACCTCTTGCTCAATCCTGTGCTGCCCCCTGCCTCCTCGTGACCTTCCCCCAAGGGCCTTCCCCCTCTCACTCCTTCCCTCCCTCCCCCCTTTTCCCCTCACCGCTCCCCCACTTTCCTTCGCCCGTCACCCTCTCATCTTCCCTCCCCTCTCCCTCTCCCTAGGCCTGTTCACGAGCCTGCCCGCATAGAGCACGCTACGTATCCCTCCTTTGGAGGGCTTCTGGACAGAGCACCAATGCACCTAGCGGGGGTCGTACTTTACAAGTGGCCATCATCATTGTACCTGCCTTCGCGTTCACGCCTTCTTGGCGCAGTGCTTCAAACTTCAGAACACAAGAAGATGAACACACAATCCTGTTGGGCAGTACGCCACCCAGACGAGCAAACGACGAGCCCGCCTCGGGGAAACGCATGACGCGAACAACTCATCCT